TCTGAACACCCGACCGCCCTTCCCTACCGCCTACCCTTGTTGTCCATTCACCTGAACTGTACCCTAACACTTTGTCGCCCCTTCCCTGCAGCCTACCCTCGTTGTCCAATCGCCCGACCAGAACCCTACATCCTGCCGCCCCTTTTCAGCAGCCTATCTTTGTTGTTCAACCCTCCAATCAGTACTCCAGCCCACCTACTGGACCCCCCAATCCCCTTCCTGACCCATCTCACCACCACCAACCCTTCTGCATACCCACACTACGTTGTCGACGCCACCCCGCTCTCGAATCTCATCTTTCGGGCCCTAGCAAAAGATTAGTCTGTCATTGTTTTTCCCTTTTCATTATATTATGTTGTAAACCTATTTTTGTATTAATAAAAGTTTGCTTTTGTGTACCGATAAATCCCGACTAGCGTCGGTATCACTTGAAGTATTGAATTTATTTTACACAAATATTTTTACAAACTTAATGCATTTTACTCCCGCAGCCCATCACATATATAATTTTTTTTTATAACCAACCTCCACAGCTTCTCACTCCTTTCCAAATTCTTTTGGACTTCGCTTAAGTGAAAGGTTTTTTTATGCACCAAGACCCTAATTAGTCACTGTAAATAAGGAGATTATTGAATCTGATCGCCAGCTAGCTAGCAATTTTTTATCATGGGGAAGGATGGAAAGTTCTGTATAATTTAGTTTAATTTAGTAAGTAGATTTGGCATAGAGTGCTAAAATAAACCATTCCAGAAGTTTCAATGTTAGTTAGGCAATATTATTTAAATAATGCATTCTAAGCATTTGATAATGTCACACCCCCAGCTGACCCCCCTTTAGGGTCAACCGTGATGCGACAGAGGCGGACGACTCAGTCAGATAAAATTCTCATCAATCAGGATCCAATGTGTAATGAATTAGTCTAACTCAATTGTCATAACCATTCATAATCTATTTCAATACAAAATTTATTCACATTCCCATAGACTTGGAAACATGCACAATAATATCACCAAAATCAAATACAGTGTCACTAAAACTCCAAAATAATAAAAATATATATCAAAAATATTTATAATTTCCCAAAACTACAAAGTCACAAATGGTTAATTGCCCGGTGCTCCATACTCAATCCTGAAAGTCAACAACATATAGGAGTGAGCTACAAGCTCAACAAAATAATCAAGACTAAAGTAGAATTTTATGAACAGAAAGAAAGCAAAGTGCATGTCAATCATAGTTCATATACATGACCACGGTATATGAAATAAATATGTTTTATCTAATGTGAAATAGTTAAGGTAAAGGACATAAAATGTTGTAAACAGTAACAACTGCAACAAGCATATATTTTATTCATTCATGTGCAATCATAAAAATATTCATAATAATTCTATAATCAATAACTTTCACCTTATGAATGACACTTATAATTCCATAGACTTTGAATATATTTATTTCATATTATTGGGTCGTCACTCAATCCGTCTGTTAAATTAATTATTGATAAAAGTTGGGTCTCTCTCAATATAGTTGTTATCAATAGCCCCCTAATCCCAATAGTTTCATCCATGCCTAAATATCAAGAGTTGGAAATCTCATCATTTCATATTATTCATACCTACAGACATTCATGTAATAGCTTACCTAACACAACACTTGCGACATTCTTTTACACATAATTCATATGATAATCATTCATCATAGCTAAATCTGCATCATATGCATAAACAACAGTATACGAACGTTTGCAAGTCGTGGTTTAATAAACACACTGAACGGATTAATAAAAGCAGTAAAATCATAAATATTTTTAGTGTCAGTTCAAATTTGCATTTATGTAATATGTGCAAGTATTCAAAAATATACAAAAAAATTTAAATGCAATTATTTGTCAAAACATAAGATTTTCTATAAATCTCTAATTAAAATTAAACCTGAATTAATTAATTAATTTCTAAATCATTTGTCATGACTTTTGTTAGCCGAATCGGTTGGAATAAAGTTATGGCATTAAAATTAAATGGTTTTGTGGTAGGAAGGTAGAATGAGGAAAAACATATTCGAAGTAACTATCAATTATGAATGTTGAGCCGTTAAATTAAGTTAAAATTAAGAATTTTCTAAAGCGTAAGGGAATTATGATTCAAGTGGTTTATTATAGGTCTATTATAGGTCGCGAGCTCAGGTCATTCTTGAGAAAACTTGTCTAATGGCTACTCCGTCGATTCAGATGAAATAATCATGTGCTAAACTAAAAAGAATATGTTTCTTTAGGATTCCTATGTGATATTTTTATACATAATTGTATTTAAAAATTTATGCATATTGTCGAATACCAATACAGGTTATATGAATGCAAGCTTGAACTAACTCTGATGATAATTATGATTTTACCGCTTTTATCGTCCAGTGGGAGTGTTTATTAAGGGCCCATTTGGGGCAGCTTATAAGTGCGGCGGGGGTGTGTGAAAGGCGACGGTCGGCGGTGTTTTGAAAACGCCGCCTATCTGTTTGTTTCGCACGTCCGGACAAATTATTTGAAAACTGCATTTACTTTTTTTCTATTACACGCAGATCGCGAGGTTATACCCGCAATCCGCTTTTTCGTTCGTCGTTTTCCACCTCTACCCCTCCCTCACGACAAAACCGAGCCTTTGCCCCGAACATTCGCCCTCCTTCGCTGCGCTGAAAGCCATTCGAAGCCATTGCTCTCCTTCGCTGCGTTGAAAGCCATTCAAAGCCTTCGTAGCCGTTAGTTGCTCTCTGTCGCCAAAAGCCCTCCATCGCTCTCCTTCGGGCGAGGAAGGTAACCTTCGTCCTTCTCCTTCTGCCGTCCAGTGACGAAGGTAACCTTCGTCTGATCCTACCCAAAAACCAGCGAGGAAGGTAACATTCGTCCTTCTCCGTTCATCTGATTTGTCCGATCCTTCTGTCCGATTTTACGATTATAAAGATTTTTTTTTTGCTGTTTATTAAAGATAGGTGTTATGCATGTAAATCCCCCTAAAATTTTATTTAGAAATCCTAAATTTTTATTCCTCGTCAAAACTAAAACAAAATATATATATATTATTTTAATTATGTTTTGCTCAATTAATCTTCATAACTTCTTACTTTTAAAAAATTAAATAATAGTTATTATAATTGAATAATAAAAATAAGTCGATTTAGCTGTAATATTGGATGTTTTATTCCAAACGGCTTTAATTGATTTATGTTGCGAGTGTTTAGTTGAGAGTAGCTGACGAAATATTTGAATAGAAGTTTGAAAACTTCTGTTCAAATTCATATATCTTTGTGGATAGCTTTAGATGTTCCTAAACTTGGTTATTGAAGTTATAGATTCTTTGATTTGTGTTTTTGATCACAGAAGCGCCATAGACTTTACAATCTGATAGAAGTTTGCTTGCCTGCCTTAAAGTTAAATTTGTTGTTAGGTGAAATTTGCAAACCATTGTCCAAATTGAAACAGACACAATATCTCCTTACTTGCGCTCTTTCATGAATGATTGATTTTTTATAAGATTAAGTTTTATTTTAGAATCGGTCATTATAATATTTATGTGATGGACTCTTTATTTTTATGTATTGGTATTTACAACCACCTTGCTACCATCTATGTATTATTAGCAGAAGCTCGATAAGCTGCAGCTGCCCCAAACAGACCCTAAATCATGGCTTGCAAGTATTTGTATACTATTTTTTATGCATATGATATATAATTTGACTATAATGAATTATTATTAAAAGATTATTGTTTAAAGGAATATTGCAAGTCTTGTGATAGGTAGACTATTACATGAATGTCTGCAGGTACGGATGAGAAGGAACGATAGGATCCCCAATTTTTGGCATTCAGACGGGGATGAAACTATTGATATCAGAAGGGCTATTGAAAACTGTTATGTTGGGAGAGACCCAACCTTTAATAATAGTTAATTTAGACGACGGATTGGATGACGACCCAATGACATGAAATAAAATGAATGTAGTCAAAGAAAACACAATTACAAGTGACATTCCTAAGATTATAGTTATTGATTATAAAATTATCAAGATATGATTGCACATAAATGAATAAAACATATGCTGGTTATAATTGTTATTATTTACTGCATTTAATACCCTTTACCTTAAATGCATCCCATTGGACCAAGCAAGTTTATTCAATATACCGTTATCATGCATATGAACTACGATTGTACATGCATGTGATTTTATTTTGATCTATAAAATCTTACATTAGTCTTGATTAATCACTCTTATATTTTAACTTCCAGAAAAGGTTAAGGAGCATCGGGACCATTAGCCATGTGTGACTTTGTACAACTTTTAGATTGCATAGTTTTAAGAAGTTTTAAACAATATTAGGTACGTATTTTTATTATGTTGGATTTTTAGCAGCTATATATATATGATTTGGTGATATTATCATGCACTCTTCCAAGTATATGAGAACGTGAATGAATTATGAAGTGAAATGAATTATAAATGATTGTGATGATTGAGTTAAACTAATTCATTAACCACTGGGCTCTGATTGCGCAAGTCGGAACAAGTGTTAGTAAAAATTTTGACCGAGTCGTCCACCTCTGCCACACCATGGTTGGCATTAAAGATGATTAGTTGGGGTGTAACAGATAAGGCCCTTAGTGTGCCAATTGCTGAAGAAAACAAATTGGGAAACTGCAAAGCCTAAGAAAGTGATATAATTTGCAACCTGATTCAAAAGATTGAAGCTAATACTTACATATGGTTTTATTTATGTATACAAAAGTTAATCAACTTCCTACAAAGAAGTTTCTTAGTTGCTAATATTTAACTTGGCAACAGTTAAGATTGAGCTCATTTAAACTGTTACATGAAGCAAAGTTAATCTCTTTGAAACAATAATCCACTAAACAAACATAATCAAACTTTTGGATCTATCAGACAATGAAAACTTTTAGTAAATAAATGAGAAAAAACAAACAGTTAAGAAATGTTGTCAAAGAGCTCACTTGTAACCAGACGTTGAATGTGCGAGAACAAGGCGAGACTTATTCTCAATTATTGGTCTTAGCGAACGTCGTTCAGCCTCTAATAGTAAATAGTCACGAAATTGATCCTTCACCAAATGGAAAGGAAAATGTTAAATAAAATTTGTTTAATGTAATACATTAAGTTGAAGCTACCAAAGAGTAAGGAAAGACTCAATGAGGTGAAGACAGTCATAGCCACTTCTGGCTGCCAAAACGATACAACAACAACAACAAAGCCTTAATCCCACTACGTGGGGTCGGCTACATGAATCCTTTTTCTCCATTGCCAAAACGATAAGAAAGATTTTTGTATGCAATAAATTCTAATAGAAAAGTGAATCCTTGCGGCAACTTATTACATTCTTAAAATAGAATTCCCCGTCACACAAATCATTCAGGCCATAGCTTACTTAATGAAACATTATTTTTAAGCAGAACACTTCTTACTGCTAATGCACAAGAAAGCTGCTGTCCACTTGTTGACGCTAAAAATAATGATAATAAAATATAGAAAACATACAATAAACATAAGAAATCTAACTGATCATACCTTTGTAAAGCCTGGACTTGCAATCACTAAACATCGAACAACTTTAAAATCAACATGCTTTAACACACACTGAGTCAATTAAACTTCTGTTAGATGTCATGGAACTTCTTCAAAAAAGCCCTTCATTTTAACTAAAATTGAAAGAGATGTAAAGAGAACGTACCTGTAGAACATTCTCAAAAAACTTTTTCAGAGCCTACAAAAAATGTTAATCAATTAGCTCAAACTTCAACAAATGTCCATGAATCATTTAATGGCAATGCTCTAGCTTACTGATTCATAACCAGCAATTGCTGGACCATGCTTCCTTGGAATAGAAGTTTCAATTCGAGAGCGAGTTGTTGTTATGCTGCTCAAAAGAGAACATCCAAAGAAAAACTCATTCTAGGATTTCAGCGGCGTAGTTATTGCGCAGTAGAAAGGTGTTTAAAGAACTAAGCCATAAATGAAACAACTCAGAATTCATGGCCAAATTATAGGACATGTATTGGTAATCTGACGAAACAAATCTTCAAAAGCTACAAGGATGCCATTGAACAGATATCTAAATGGGCATTTGTCTATGCATTTGTCTAGTCATACATGAAGTTAAATACTATAAGAATTATCTTAAATAAGTTTTCTGCAAAAAAATAGTTCGAAAATTTATTTCTTTCAGTCATGCTTAGTATACACATAGACCAGAAAAGGGACGGGAATCATCAAAGAATAAAATGGAGCATGTAACTTTTTTGAATTTAGATATAAGTTGTAGATATAAATAGAATCCAATTTGTAACTTGCGCAAAGAAAAAAAGCAGTATTTCGGATTGTAAGATACGTAATATCCTTGATGAATAAATCATTCATCATATGTCCAAGGGATTTCTACCAGTTTGGAATTATGAGAATAAAAACAAAAGGAAAATTTACACAAATACCACACAATTCATATACATTTATATATCTAATAATTAATATTTATAACAATTTTTAAAAGCTCAGAGCTTAAATGAACTAAACATGAACATAGTCAAACTTGGTCATTTATATTTACGAACAAACTCATTGCTCGTTAAATACTCAATATTAAGCTTGATGGTAACTCGTATCATATATGATATATTATTTAAATAAAATTTAATTAACAATAATTTATTTAATTATAGATTTAATAGTATTATATTATTATATCAATAATATTTTTTAATTAATTATTAATTATAATTTTATTTATTAATATATATTACTAATTATAGTTTTATTTTATTAAAGTTTAGATGTTATATATCAAAATACATAAGACTTCTGTGGTATGTATGAAATGCCTTTTAAAATTAACTTTATACCCCCGCAAATCTCATTTTCCCTCTGGCCACTCATAATTTAACGTCTCCCGATTTCACCCAAAGCATATGAAACCTTGAGCTGCTAGAGCGTACAAACATCAAAAGCAATGACAAGATTGCGATGTGTAAGAATCTCAAAAATCTATTCTCTCGTATATATCCCCTTTTCACTCTGCTCATAAATCCTACTGGACTAAAAAGTGTTGTTGAGAAAGTGTGATGCAATCATTGTATGTTATATATGATTAAAAATAAGAATGATACAACAACTCAATATAAAAACATCAACAAAATTATCCAAAACAGCTACAAAAATAACAAGCACACACCTACATCTGAACGTAGAAGTTAGGAGCAAACTTAAAGTACGGTCATGCTAAAATATGAGAGATTACATTCTATATGACCATGGTTCATGAATTATCTTTAATTTTTACAGAGTTCATAAATGAAAAACTAGTAAGTGTGATCAAATTTATATAATTATTTATTGAATATTTTATATGAAAATCTAACTACTCGTTTGCATTTTTTGTTTTTTTAAATACTCGTTTACTTGTCATAAGCAAATCAAGTTCAAACACTGAAAATTCTAAACAAGTCAAGCTTGAAAAATATATAAAAGCTCGACACAAGCTTAAGCCGAACATGACTTATAATATACTAAGCTAAGTTCGAATTATGATGTACTCGGCTCAATTACAGTCCTAATGCCATAAAACTATGCGTGAAAAAGTATATTTCACTTTTAAAAAGTTATTGTTGGTGGTATTCTTGATCTAATATTAAAGATTTGAGTGCTATACATCTAATTATGAAAGTTTAGGTGTAAAATATGTAAATAAATAATAATGTGCACTAAGTATGTAAATGCCCCGTAAAAGGAAATTTAAATACAAACCACACCATTTCTATGTATCTGAGGAACTCCTATGTAATGATGGAAGTCTGCAAGAAATGTCAATATTTTGCATAGACTCACTAACTTTATCTGGTCTGTACAAAGGTTTTAAAATTCCATTTTCAATTTGATTATGCTCACATACCTGTAAGTTTGGGTATCTGAAGTTTCAGTAATTATAATCACAAGGTTCAAGCATTAGCTTTGTTCATATATATAACGAACAGAATATAAGCTAAATTTTATAAACAACATATAAATAAAAGTTAAGCAAACTTGCACTTTAAGATTACAAGTAAAAAAAAAAGTGTTTTCAAGATGAGCTATATTCTCATTATACAACAAAAAGGCATCAGGCCCAACTTCTAGATTACATGCACTTAGATTGCCTTGTGGTCCTAGGACTATCCTGCAATGGACAAAAGGTACTCGGGGCCAATCGCTGAAGGCCCAAAAGCGTTCATGTCAAGCTCTGGGGGCCTAACTGTTACTAAATAGCATAACTAGGTTGATAGACATGGTCAAAACCTATTTGTTTAAATTAAAACTGTAACGGAAAAGACCTCGTTTCTTATTCCGATTAAAGACATAGGTTCCATATATATATATATATATATAAAATAAAAAACCCAAGGGCTGATATATTGAAGAAAAAAGATACAGATAGATTGTATGAGTGGGCCCAAAAATACGCACCCAACCCACATAGTACAACATACATAAAAAAATCAAAATGAGTACATATATATATATATATATATAT